TTTTAAAAAAATGATGTTTCAGAGTGATACGGAGACTGATCTCAGTGAAACACACGGGGTGATCGCCCTCGGGTTCAACTCTCCCATTCTCCACGTACTGAGTCTCAGACTCTTCACAATGAGGATGTGCCAGTAGGAACCAACAGCCTCCCGTTGGATGGAAGGGGAAATTCTTCTGGGCTAGTTTGTTTTCCTACAGCCTGCTTAGTGCAGCTAATACCAAACAACAGGTCCCCTGCATATTTTCCAAACTGCAACTTGGTCCATAACCAGAAGGACTTGGGGGTACATGGGGGTGGGGGGGCGGTAAATGGAAACATTTGATACCTTCAAAACAATAAATCAAATTAAAATTTCAGGGCTGTAGATGGCAGAAAATCAATAATATGGGAGGACGTCTGGCACAAGCAATTCCTTGAATATTCTGAATTGTAACAAATATATCTAAAAATAGCTGCTGTAAATATAGAAGTTCACATATAAACCAAAGCCATTTGAGACTGACCCAGTCTTGGTGGATTTAATGCAATTATCTGTTTTACATATTGTAAATCAGGAAAATACCCAGTAAAAATATCTTGTGGCCCAGCCTTGTGAGAGTTTTTAGGGGAAAAAAGAGGATTTTTGTAGAGACAAACTCTCCCCTATTTATCAAAATAGAGCACACGCCAATAAATGAAATGTGCCGTCAAATTTAATTTTGTGAAAAGTTAAATGGGGGCAGAGCCCAAAATTAAATTGCCCATGAATTTTCCTGATTTACAATGGTGTATGTATCCAATGTTTTCTTTAAAATCATAATTAGAATTTTCCACTTTTGCAGATGTCCTGATCGAACCGTTGTGTGTGTATTGGAACGCTGACAAGTAAATTCCATACTTAGGGTGTTCAACATACGTTCCAGATTAAAGCTTAGCACCAGGAAATCCTCAGTGGTCGTAACTATATGGTTGTGCAGTTAACTCTTCATTGTACAGTTGATTTTCATACTCTTTTTAAGGAATACATTCCAGTGCCTATACCATGCACATTGCACTTATTACCCATCAGCAGGTGGCTCAAGTGAGTAAATGCAATGTGTGGTGTGATACCGAACCAGGCAAACCAGAGCGTTCTAGATTAGATTGATTCGTAGAGATTTACGCTGATTGGGTTGAGTGGCCTGTTTTGTGCTGTACAGTCTTTGGAGATTCACAGTCTGTGCTGAATTGGTTGATCTGCAGTGAGGTGTCAGTACAGGGCACGACATTTGACCTCAAGCACCCGTTGGCTATAGAGGGGAAAAATCAGCCATGGCTTGCCCCGTTATTGCTTTGTACCCAAAATCCCTGTGTCTAAATGTGCCTGTGTGTGTGTGTGTGCGTGTGTTGGATAACTATCATGAATAGATATGCTTATTGATGCTCACTGTCCCAGATTGCTCTCAAAATTAGTTAATTACTGTTAGCCTGGTAAGGGGGAAGAAAAATTGGAAAAGGGAACGTGATTGGGGAGAAATCAATTTAATTGTTTGTTTCCATGTTTTATTCCTGCTTCATTTCTCATTGGTAAATTTCAGTTTTAAAGATGATGCTGGCTGTTGGTGTTCTGAACTATGCAGTTGGTTGGAGATTATCTTAACAACAGGAATCAGAAAGTGATAAATAGAAAAAAAACTCCATCTGGGGCAGTGTCTGGTTGAGTTCCACAATCCTCTGATCTGCGTTTCCTACTGTTCATACTATCTGTAAATGATTTGGAGAAGAGCACGTTCTTTAATGTCCATTTTCCAATGATCCCAATTAATGTGAGTTGGTGAATAATATCATGATGATGCATTAACTTTCAAACAAAATCTGGACCTATTAAGCAGATGAGCCAAGGATTGGTGGGTGAATGTTAATATAAAGAAATGCAAAGTAAGAGATATTGGAACCAGAAATGTTATGTAATAATCCTTTATTTGATATACAGTGAACTGCTGATAATAAGGCCCTGTCTTGTATCATCACATGGCCATGAAATAGACATGAAATGAAACCAATTTTATTTGATGCATCGTTGGCCAGGAATACCAAGAAAACTCCCTTCTCATTTTGAATCGTGCCATGGGATTTCTAATGGTAGACAGGCCATTCGTCTAACATCTTATTTGAAGGATGGAACCTCCAATAATACAGCACAACCCGAGTACTGCGACTGAAATGTCAGCCTAGATTGCATGAGTTCACAGTCCCGCATAAGGCTTGAACCCACAGCCTTCTGACTTCCAATGTACTACCAGCGGGTGGAGAGGGCACAGTGTTCAGTTGAGGGAGGAGAGTAGCAGGAGGTTAGCACAGTTTTGCTATTGTTGGCAAACGGTGAGGATTTAAACGGGCATATTCAGTGGAATAATTGAATGGATTGGCATTATTTAAAAGCAAGAATCATTGCTGTTTAAACTGCTAACAATGAAATGTATGACCTCCTCAAACTGTACGAAAGTCCTATTGTTATAATACATTAAACAACCGCTTAAATTATGGGAAATTAAGGCTTTTCAAATGTGCTGCTTTTAAGCAGCATGTGTAATCTTTAGCAGGTATATTTTAAATGTGACCAAATACAGTTGAATTGTGCTATGTACATAATAAGCACGCCAAGATATTTTGAGCTTGGATCAAGATTTCCATAATGTTCAGTTGAAAATAGTCAATGTAGTTTGCTTCTGGGGCCAACTGGATAAAGTCTAACACTTATACGTTACAGCAAAATGTGCCACCGCACTGGAGCTGCTGCACAGGAACACATTTTGAGTCTCTGCCACTTTTACATTTCCCACTGCACTCCGAAGGACACTTGTAAGAAAATGATGTTTCACCCACGTATGAATGTCTGTCTTCATTACACAAGTTGCATCAGAGGGACTGGCATTACATATTTACTTTTATTATTTCTGCTATCGAAATAATGACAGCAGAGACTGGCAGATGCTTCTGAGTACCAGACCAAATTTTTTTCTGGCCTTTTTCTGCATTTTTGCTCATGTTATTTGAGCAGTGGAGATGTCAAAGTTACCTGTTGAATTGTTTTGCAGTGTCATTGGGTCTGCTCCCTGAAGTATCACTCTTTTTTGCTATGGAGTCAGATCTCTTTTATATGGGATAACTCGATATCCAAAGTCCAGTAGGATTCTAATTTTCCCGCTGGTGTTATCGGACGCTTTTCATTATGCGCTGCCTCCAGAGATAGATCTAATTCCATTCAACAGACAAGAAGGCTTAAGTGTTCAAACCCATAATTGTCACAAGCTATTTATTTAATTTCTTCCTTACATTAAACTGGACAGCTGTTGGCCAGCAAGGTGTGTTTTGTTGGAGGTGAGAGTGCTACCACTGAGCCAGGCTGACACACAACCCTCCATCTCTCATAGCAGGTTTGCAGTGGGCAATGGGAGGGAGCAATACCCAACCATTGATTTACTTTGGCCTGGGTCAGTTGCACAGCGAGAAGCTACTTAAATTGATTTTAAAACCCCTGTTGCAATACTCCTGATGGGGTCAGTCTTCACAGAGGCTCGTAATACTTTGATACGTGTATGAAGGGTATCAACTCTGTGAAGCTGTTTAAGGTGTAAGTTTAGTCGTTGTAGCTGTAGAGGTACCCGTTAAGAATTGGGCATTTAACACAGCTGCCATATTAAATTGTTTCCACTTTTTACATAAGGTGGTGCAAATTTAAAATAACCAGCTGAGCCTGCACAACTGTTCTTCAAAATTAAATCAATCGCTTTATAGTGATATATCACTGCCACACTGACAGTGCAAGTCTGCTGTGGTACTATAACTAACCTGCAAAAATACCTGAATCTTTTCACATCTGGTTTTGATGTGAATTGTCAGTTGTTTGCCGAATGAATATATCAGCACATACCTGTGACAAGCCATCCGTCAAGTTGCTTCAATCCTTTTGACATCAGTTTGGCATTGTTTCTACACCTTTGTTATTTTGTAAGTTTTAGTTCCTTTCTGCACCACCTGGTGTACTCAGTGGATGGATCACCAGTTTGAATCCGCATCTCTGCTTAACTGTCTGTACATTATTTTATTTTGTTGTTGCGCAACTTCTTTTTGCATTTTTTTTAAAGGTCTGTTTCTGCACTATTATTTTAATATGAACCCAATCTATATTTCAACCTGTTTATTATAATATTTACAGCTGATAAATTAGGTTTGGCATGAAAAAAGATTCCCTACTCTGTGCTCACTTATTTCAGAAATGTTTGTGTATTGCTTTTGAGGTCTTGAAATAAAAGTGGTTAACATCTGCAGTATGGTTGTCCCTGTTTTCATGTATGTTCCTAATACAAGTTGCCTTTCTGGAGAGAAGCCTTTAGCTCTGATTTCATGGATGTTTCTTCAGGTTTGCTTCACTGTATACAAATGGCATCAATTGACATCAAATATGGGCAAAGTTTCGCCTCTTCCCTCTTGATACATTTTTTATGGCACTTAATCTTTTTGAAGTGCATGTTACAGTCGCCATCATGTCTTTGGGCGAATGAAAAAACTGCAGTTGTCTTCAAATGGAGTCATCCTCTACGTACCACTTAGGAGTAATCTGAGGCCCTGGGCTTACTGCGAACATATGGAGAATGCTTTCAGTCAGGAAAGAGTGAACGAAGACTTCACAAATAGGTGCTCTAACTTTAGGCCATTTTCCACTCATGTTGTAATTCCAAGAGACTTAATGAGAAGGCTGCGGTATAAATGTTTGTTCATTTTATTCTTTGCTGTCTTAGCTTCACCTTAGCTTCACGCCAAACTGGAACCAGTCCCTGCATGTGGGCTGCATTTCGTACGCGTAGAATAGTCATGTAAGTTGGTCATGCCAGTGGGTGAAGGCATACAGCCTTCCACAGTGCTATGCCATACAGGTTGCTGGTTCGAATCCTGGTTTCAGCTTGTTTAACTGCTTGATCTCTTTATTCTTCCAAGTTATTAATTGATGTATAAGTATGAATCTTTCTCTTTTAACAGGGTGCCAGGGATTACAATTGCCACAGATATTATATGTGGTTTTCCAGGAGAGACAGAAGAGGATTTCCAGGAAACCGTGAAACTGGTCAAGGAGTACAAATTTCCAAGCTTGTTCATCAATCAGTTTTACCCACGTCCGGGAACCCCAGCCGCCAAAATGGAACAAGTCCCTGCCCAAGAGGTGAGTTTTCCATTCAAATTCTTCATCTTATTTTAGCAAATGCTGCAAGTTCACTCGGTTAGATCTGTAACAATCTGAACTGATCACAATTTCCAACAAGTATGTGCCTTCGCTCACCGTCCTACCTCTATCCTCCCCACCCTCTACCCGTCTAATCCAACCACCAGCTCAGGTGCGGATCGCTGACTGTCCAGCACTTTGGGACGTCCTCCTAACGTGAAAGGCTCTATACAAATATAATTTGTTGTTGTTGTTGTAAAACTGGCAACTGACACACACAGAACCACATGATTATGTCACGTTTGTCTTCTGGTATTGTTGTTATTTTTATAGGATATGTCAAACGTAAGCTAAATCCCAACCGAATGGAGCCTTCGTCCTCAGTTTGATTCCTTGGTGTAGTGGTGTAAAAGTAGTGTAGAAATGATATGCTTTGTGGAGTCCTGCAGCCCAGTGGTTAGAGCACTCGCTTTGCAAGCGAGAGACTGGGTTCGATTCCCGGCAGGGTGAAACCTTGGGCAAGTTCAGTACTCCACACCACTGATAATAATCCCTCAAGAAAAAAAAACAGTAATAAATTGGTCATTTCAATCCACAACTGTTTGTGGGACACTACTGTGCGCAATTGCCTGCCACATTTCGCCCACAAATATACAGTCAATTCACTTTACACTCTATTCTGTGAAGCGCTTTGAGACGTCTAGAAGACATGAAAGGAGCTATATCAAATGCAAGGATTATTATTATTATTCACAATTTTAGCTCATTTTCTTTTTTTTCAAACAACCTGATCTACTACCTATAACAGGGCTCTGTTGTTCATAATACCAAGGACTACTGTTCACATAAGTTAAAAACCCAACCAATATTTGCCATATAAATGATTGAGAATCAAAAAATGGTAGGAGGATTCATATTTAATATTGACTAGATTTCATGAATTTCTCTAAAACCCTTGATTTCAATGTTGCCCCAATGAACAGAAACTTTGCCTTATTTAGCTTGCCAAAGTACTTTAATAATTTGTACACTATGCACTAATCCCTCCGTGCAAAGCTTTCTTTGGAAGTCCTACAAAAGTGGTTATAGTGAGGGTGTTCTGTGCATTATTATAATAACTCAAGCTATAAATGATGTTGCTGGAATTCAAAACAAAAACATATCAAAGTGCTTTTGGTACAGAGGTTTCATGTGTCTACAATAACAGCTTGGCACTTGAAAGTTATTATTGTGAAGCACCTTGAGATGTTTTGACATGACACGATACTATAAAAATGCAAGTTTTTTCTTTCTAATGCGGTGAAAGATTGTTGTACAATTCTATCCAAAAGGGTTTTATTAGTGCCATTCTGTGCCAGCTAATATCCCACTGTAAGACCGGGATCATGAAAATTCTGTTGTTTTAACACTTGCTTTTTAACAGGTAACACACAGCATTGAGATTTCATAAATTCCACTGCTGACTTGCAAATGCTGAATCAGCTCATTGACGTGTGCATGTGTACACTGCAGCTCTGTGCAACAGAATCTCTTCACAGGCTGAGGAATTAGCACAGGCAAGCCCTTTACGTGACCCCTCGCTGTTCAAACTTGTCAAGCCATTCTTTGCCTATTCATCCTTTTCTTTCTTTATTTCGATTACTGTTTTCAGCATTCATGTATGTTTTCTACGAAGAAAACATTTATTCCTCTGTGGATAAAGTCTAACCAGAAAATGTATTGCAGATATAAAGGGAGTGTGAGAATGAAAGAATGGTGTGTAGGGAAATGTATTCAGTGATCTTCAGTGTAGATGAAGAGAATGGCCTATCTTCCACATTTTTTTTATTTTTTTTTGCTATTTATATTCCAGATGTTCTCCAGTAACTTAATCCATTCATCCTCTACAGGAGGTGATCTATAACAGATTTATTTTCAGATAAAATTACATTTTAATAACACAAAATAAATGTTCAGATCTGAGGGGGATATGATGCAGTTCACAAACGTATTGCATCCAGGTGTTTGCCAACGTAAATGTTTATACTGGCCGTGATAAAGGACATGTACATGAAATACAAAGAGATGTGAGGTGTTGTACCATTGAAAAAGAAAATAGCAGCACAATGGTTAACGTGGGTAAACATGATTGTATAATGCAAACCACCACTCAAGGTAACTTAATCTGTCCTGTACATAATTCCTTATGGTCTGTACATCCATTTTAATGGACTTTTGCTTGATCTAGTGTTCTATACTTTTTAAATTTATCTTGAAGTTGTTCCAATATAATATCCACTTTGTCCTCTTCCACATAAACAGGATTGCCTGATGTATCATGGCAGTGGACTGCAATTCACTAATCCAGCCAAACAGTTTGTTGATCGCTTAAACTCTGAGACTGGATTACAAGCAGGAATCTATGGAAACCTTTAATTTGAAAGCAATTGCTTGTATTGATATAGTGGGTTAGTGGAGGGGGTTGTGGTACATCACAGGAGATTGGGCTGTGCCATGGGACTTTGCTGTTTTGCATGGTAAAATACAGAAGAATCCCAACAGATCGAGTCAAGATCCTCATCTTCGCATTCAAATCTCTCCACAGCCTCAGTCCACCCTACCTGTGTGACCTCCTGCAATCCTATAGACCTGGCTGCTCCTTCCACTGAGTGAATGCCAGCCTGCTTCACATTACCACCCCCACCCTTTTCAGTTCTCCCCCATCCTCCTCTCCCTGGCTTAAGTGCCCAGTCAGTTGCGTAAAGAACTTGAGACGTTCGCACATTGTGAAAGGTTGCTGCAAAGTTAAAAATTGCATTGTATTTTTTTAACAATTTAAACACTTGGAGGACAATACCCGTTGGTGAATCACTCACTCACTCCAAGCTTGTTTTTAGGCTTTTCCTAGCGCACCTGTGATTCCATCCACTACATACCATTTCTAAGGCTACAGGTGTGTGTTAATTCAATCTTTTCTCAATTCTTCAAATCCCAGAGCAGGCAAATAATACAAATAATATACCCAGGTTTTGCAAACTGAAGAGTTTCCTCGCACCAGTATTTAGTTTTGCATATTTAGGGTTAACAATAATATCCTTTACTTCTGTTGTTTTTTTAATATGATTTTGAAAAGTTAGTGAGTGCAACTTGAACTATCAGCAAAGGGAGCCAATTACTCTGGCCCTTGGGAGATATATGTTTCATTGTGTATGCTCTTTCTGCTTGGTTACATTGTTAGGCACTGTACTTCTTTCGAGCCAGTTTTTCTTCTGGTGCACTGGATATCAATTGAAGGGCACCCAAATAAATGTAAATAAGGGGCATCCTTTTGAAATGCCCTTTATCATAGCATTGACTTATTTATAAGGTAATGGACTCCCAATATTTTGTACGGTCAAAGCATAAAAATCTTGTTATTGCAAGAATAGTTCTCGTAGGGCTTGGCTTCATGTCTTGACAAATGCGCAACCTAACCTGCACATGCTGGTAAATGCAGTTGTGGATTGTAAAGCCAACAGCTTTCTGCATGCGGATGCAGAACATGTCCCAGTGACAGGAATAGAACCAGCTTCCTCCTCGTGTATAAAGCTTATTGTTAAACTGCTCTGCAGCTTTATTCACTAAATTGTAGGGTGCCCACAAATGACTATTTGGCTGTTTAAGAGAAGATTATATGCTTAAGACTCCTATTTAAAAGCAATAACTTAAGAGAGTCTAGGATTTGGTCCTAAGAAGTGAATACAATTTTGTGGTATGCAGGTTATTGCTTAACATGAATTGATTCCAGCCTTTGGGCTAATGCCATTCACCTGACCGCTCGCTCCCGGTCCCCGCGTGCGCATTATGGCTGCCATCTAACCCAAGCCCCTCACTCCCTCCCTCCCTCACTTCCCCCTCCTCTCTCCCCCCCAAACCCTCCGCACTCTGCATCTCTCCCGCTCTGTCCTCCTCTCTCTCCGTCCCCCTCGCCTTCTATCCCCTCTTGACCTTCCCACAACCTCCCTCTGTTCCAGCCTGGGAATCCTCCGCCGGGCTCACCGCGGCACTCGGCGTTGGCTGTCCACCAGCAGCCACACCGACTGCCCCATTCCCCACCACACTCGTCAGCCACCCCGGACACAGACCCAGGGAGCCAACCTCTCCTCCCTCATCCCCATTCCCCCTACACCTGCCTCACAACCTGGACCCCCCTCCCTCCCCACACACCCTTCTGTCAACTGCTCCCTCCACATCGGACTACAAAATGTCCGCTCTCTCTGTAACAAGGTCCTGGTCATCAACAATCTCATCCTTGATGAGAGCATTGACATCATGGCCTTAACTGAAACCTGGCTCACCCCAAGCGACACCTTCCCCCTCATGGAGGCCACACCACCCGGCTACACCTCCCACCACATCCCTCGCCCCAATCGCCGTGGCGGTGGTGAATCCCTTATCTCAAGGACACCACTTGCCCTATTCCCCTACTCCCCTGGCTCTTTCCCCTCTTTTGAGCACCTCACCCTCTCCCACTCCTCCTATCTCTCACTCAAAATCCTCCTCCTCTACCGGCCCCCTAAAACCTCTCCCACCTTCATCTCCGATATTCCTACCTTACTAACATCTCTCTGCCTCTGCTCTGATCGCCTCATCATCCTGGGCAACTTCAATCTGCACTTCACCCCCTCCTGCTCCATCTCATCGGACTTCTCCTCCCTGCTCTCCTCACTCAACCTCTCCCTCCACATCAACTCCGCCACTCACAGTCACGGCCACCCACTCGATTTGGTGATCACCCGGGGCCTCAGTGTCTCGGATGTCACCATTACCGACAAGGCCGTCTCCGATCACCACTTCATCTCCTTCACCACCTCCACCCCCTCCCCACCTCCACCAGACCCACCACCATCTTCTACCGCCCCTGGAAGAAGTTACCCCCACAATCCCTAACCGCTGCCTTGGAGTCCTGAACTCCTCTCCCTCTGGCCTTCAACCCTCACTGACCCCTCTTCTGCTCTCACCCTCCTCCATAACACCCTCTC